TTTTTTTGGCCTGTGTAGCCAATAAAGTTCATCAATAAATATAATATGCCTCCTAGCTGGGGGCCCCCAACACCATATGCATGTGTGCAGGTGTATGCGTGCACGTGGCCAGGAATGCACCCAGGCAGCATGGAGAGCAGCACCCTGCAGATAAATCTGTGGCGGGAAAGAGACGTGGGGGCGGGCACAGATTGAGGCCCTCACGGTAAGGGAGGGAGCGGGGCTGGGAGTACTGCACAGCCAGGATGGTGAATGTGGCACAGGGCTGGGGCGGGAAGTGGGACAGAACTCTAGGCGGCTCAGCCAGAGGGTACAGGGGAGTGAGGTTTGGGGGGGAGGAGCTCCCTGCCACTGCGGGCACCTGTGGGTATGTGCCCCCTCAGACTGGTGTGCAAGGCGATGCAGGCTCCTCACTGTGGGCTCGGGCTCTCCACTCTGCTGCCTTTCCCTCAGGAGCCCCATGCTGGGCATGCGCCCCCTGCCTGCCTAGCAGCAGTGGGGGTGGCGCATTGTGCCTCCTGATGCTGGGCTGGCAGGGGGCACACAGCCAGCATGGGGTCCCTGGAGCAAAGGCAGCGGGGCGGAGAGCAGTGAGCAGCCCACATCTGCTCTCGCCCTGCTCAGCTCGGCTTGGCTCTGGTTAAAAGCATTCCCCCACTTAAAAAAGGTGATGGTGGCGTTTGAACTAAAGTTTATTCAACAAGTTTTAGTTCAAGCACCCTTGCTGCCATTTTTAGAGCTGGGATGCTGATCCATTGGACGATCCACCTGTGACTCTGTCCCACTCCTTCCCCGGGTCACATTCACTGTCCTGGCTGGGCAGTGCCCCTTGCTTCAGCCCACTCTCTCCCTCACCATAAGGGGCTCTATCTGCCTACTCCACACCCCTTACCCTCCACAGACTTACCTGGAGGGAGCTGCTCTCTGTACTGTCTGGCTGCATTTCTTTAAATCGATTATCAGATCAGTATTGGCTGATATGGCTTGTTAATAATCAGCTATCGGTATCAGCCAAGAAAATCTTTATCGGTGCACTCCTACACTGGAGTAATAAAAACACTCTGCTTTACTCTGCTACCTTCATGCCATGGCTGCCTCTGCATTCCTTATTTTTAGGAGGCAAGGCTTTTTTTGACAGCTTTTATTGGAACACGTGTATAGTTGGGACATCGCTTAGATAAACTTTCAGGCATTGGGTATCCTTTCCCTGGTCTGAAGGGAAAGCAGGTGAGCTAAATATCAAAGAAAAGACTCCATGCAAATTCAGAAAGTACAATTGGATGGATGGAGGAGGGCTGTGAACTAGGAATGAAGGTGTAAACAGGACCTCTTACAAGACTAAAGAAGAACAGTAGAACAGGCAATCTATTTAGTATCAGAGGAGGCAGTTATTACCTGTAGAGTGCAGGGAGATGTTTGGCAGTGTTTGTAAAGTTGAAATGAGCCATAAAGCCATGTTCTATATTAAAACCAGATTTTTTACTGTCTAGTAGAGTTATGAATTTATGTTCCTACACCTATTTTCTGGAGGCGTTTTGTAAATTCCCTTTGAGCATGAGGATAGTGAGGTCAGAAAAGGAGTGGCTTGTTTTTTTGTGAAAAATGTGCTTCTACTGGGTTTTTGTCTGTCCTTTTATATTTTTATACATCCTTTACTTATTTTCTCGATACATGGGGTAGCGGATGCTTGGTGAATCTACACCAGATTCCAACAGTGACAACAGCAGTTACCCGCTTCACTGTGACACGTAAGGCTCCCCTACAGAGCTGGTTCCTTGTTTATGTAGGAAGCATATATACTGTGCATGAACTTTGTGCGCTAGCAGAATACAAGCAGACTGTAGCCTCTTAATATCTAAAGAAGACTATAGAAAGTAGGGCAGATTTGCACCTTATAGACTAACTAAATCAGGGGTGCACAGCATTAGCAGTGAGTTTACTTCATCAGATGCTGTGAAGGGACTGCAGGAAACAGCTTCTAAATAAAAAAACCCCATGATTAGAATGCAAAGGGCTGGGAAGATGGGGAGGATAAAGTGTAAAATATAAGTATAAATATATGAGTGTTTAACCAGAGGTTTAAATATTATGAATCTTTGTTCACTCCACATTGGTATAACAGCAAAATTACATGCACAAAAATATGCATGCATAAAGTAAATACTAATATAGATTTTTTCAAATAAATATTAATATAGATTTTCATTCTGTATGCATGCTTTGTTACATGATGTTCGAGCCAGCCTCTTCACTGAACGATAGATGCATTTGTTACAAAACTGCTCTTTTGCTTGATACTAGTAAATCATTTGCTACTCAATGTGGACCTGAAATTTCATGTGCATACCTAATTAAAATGAGCAACAATTGTAGTTAATAATGAAATAATTCATTTTTTTATTTTATTCACAATACAGAAATGGAAAATCATTTAAGATTGACCCAATTTTTTGTTTATCTGCAGTAGCAGCTCATTTGAAACAATATTGAAGTTCAGTAATATATGCTCTGAAATTCAGTATTTGACAGATGGCGTGGGTGGTTTGTGCCATTTTTATGACAAATCCAGTTACAAACATAACCATAAAATAAGGTGTCTTCATTCCTTGTCTGCTGCAACATACAGAGGGGGAAAAATGACAGGGAAGAGAGAAAAACAAATTTATTTCGTGCTTTTCTGTTCTACTATAATGATTTTCATCTTTAAGCCCAAAATAAAGCCTTAATAGTAGTACTCTGAATACAATGCACTTGCTATAAATCTTAAAACATTTATAAATTGCTTGCCTTTTTTCTATATTTTCTTTGCATAATTTCATACCAATCTTGTAAATGACATTTGATGCTGAAAGATTACAATAAACAAGCATTACTTTTTCCAGACCAAGATAAAATAAACTTTCAATAAGGTACACTTAAGGTTAGAGGAATATCAGATAATGTAGAGATAGGCAGTGTCTCTCTAACAGTTCCCTGGAATAGTACAGGACTTGCTGTAACTGGCTCATTTTATTTTCATTAGCCAAATTGAAAGAGATGAGAAAAAGTAAATGATAGAAATAAAAGTGAAATACCTGCAGGCAGCATCATATTCTAAGATGTTCTTTATAACAAAGAGCAAGCTAAAAAAATGTAACCTGACAAAGTCTCCCTAATTAAAAAAAAATAGAAAATAAGAGTCTGCAGATACACAAAAGACAGCCTGTATTCTATTTTTCATAAAAATCCAGTATCTAAAATAATCAGAAGTTTTTTGCATATGTCATTATTTTAGGTGCAGATTGCCAAAAAAAAAAAAAAAAAAAGGTTTAAAAACTGAAAATTAAAATTGGTCCTCATATCAATTTTGAATCTATTGGACTTAACTCCAGCTTCCCAGGAAACAACAGAAGTAACTGGTTCTGTTGGGTTTTTCCCCCAAAATGCTGATGTTTTAATTCTTTTTTTAATGGATAAGTGTTTTTTTTAAGTTCATTAAATGTTTTATTCTTTGGAGATGCCATTGAATTTATTGCCATCTAAGATGTGTTCTCTGTAGTTACTTATATGGCCCATCTCAGGCATTACATCCCTGAAGCAAGTGAAAATTGCACTTTCCCTTCCCTTGCATGCTCAGCAGCATCTCCCCTCCCCCATCAGTGGCTGCCCTGGAGGCGGTTGGGTCCCCCCCAGTGTTTCCTGATAGCCCAGGAATCAGGCACAAGGTAAGGGAACACTTGCTGTCACCATGGCCTCTACCAAGCCTGCCTCTATGTGAAGCCTGATTGTTGCAGGATAGTAGGGCTTCTGGAGGCCCCCCTTCACCTCCTGCCCCTGCCTCAGGTGGGGACAGTGGAAGTAGCAGGGGACAAGGTGGGAATGGGAGGGGAGGGAAGGGAATGTGCAGCTGAGCATGAAGGAGAAGAGAGTGGGGTGGGGAGTTTCTTACCTTGAGGGATTTAAAACAAAACAAAGCAAAAAAGTTGCCCGCTGCTGCTTCTGAGGTGCAGTCTGCCTGCCCCAGGGTGAGGGGAAGAGGCTAGGAGCCTGGATGCAGCCACTTCTGCACCACCAGTCACTGCTCCCACACCCTCCCCACTTTTAAAAACCTGGATCCATCCATGTCTATGTGTATTGTATACATTAATAAATGTATCTGTTTGGCTTCCCAGTGAAGCAGGAAAATATTGCTAGCCCCATTTTGCAGATCAGGTACCAAAGCATGGAGAAGTTTGAAATGAAATCTAAGATCCATTGAAATAAATTTGAGTTTTGCTGTTGATTTCAGGACCCTTATTTCACCCTGAATGACTTACTTAAGGTCACATGGAGCAAGAAATTGTAGTAGATGTAGAAACAGAATTACTGTTTTCTAAGTCCCATTGCCACAGTCTTAACCACAAGACTACAGTTCTGAGTGACATGGGCTACAAATGCTGGTCCTCTATCAACATCAGTATTACTGCCATTGTTTCCACTAATAGAGCCAGCTGATTGTAATGCAGCAGTGAGTGGTTTCTCAAAGGAAGCCTAGCATTAAAAAACTGAGGCAGAGGTTTCGACCAAGAAGTAAAAACATTAACAATAATAGACATGAGGCTTGGCTTTTAGCTATAGTAGGACTGCAGCTCACAAACTGTAAATTCATTTCTTGCTTCCATAGACAACAAGGCACAGATTTCAGCACGTTCAGTTTATAGAAATGAGGGAAAATCTCTGGTCAACAGAGACACAGCATAGAAGAACTCTGCAGGAAAACCAATCCTAGCTCTTCACTTTGAGGAGGATAGTTTAATCTTACAGGAGTAAAGACTTGTTGTATATGTGGCTATTCATAGTAGATGAATAAAAAACTTCCACATGTTACAAATTGTGAGAAAATGTATCGTTTTCAGATTTACTTCTTAAATGTATATGATTGCATTTAGTCTTTGTGATTAAAAATATGTTTGTGATGGTGTAATACTTTGTAATGACTGTGAATTTACCATTTTTGTATTGTTTTGTTTTTGTCTTAACAGAAGGCTCAGAAGTTGGGACTAGAGGAACCCCAGATGCAATTAAAGGTGTGAAACGGAAAAAGATTGTAACTGAGAACCATCTGAAAAAAATACCAAAATCACCTTTGCGAAATCCTCCTGAGGCCAAGCTTAAACAAAATATAGAGCAACCTTCATCATCTAAAGTTCTTGATGCTTCAGAACACACGAAGACACACAATCATTTACCTGTACAGAATGGGAAAAAATGTACCAAACAAAATGGGGGAACACGTAGTTGCAATGTAGCTACTGACGAATCCAAATCTGAAGTATCAATGCAGACAAAACTTCCACTGTTACATCAATCCTTGGAACTGAACAAACGGACAGTAGAAGACTTTGATACAAGCCTGTTGAGTTTGTCAGAGAAGTCCCTCCCTAACTCCTTGTCAAGTAAAACAAAGACTGACAGTAATGAATGTGTTACCTTTGTTGATTGTAGTACTTCATCCTCGTGTACACGTACAGCATTTGATGTCCTTTTAAAAGCTATGGAGCCTGAATTGAACACATTAGCACAAGAGTGCCCTCCTTGTGGAATGCAAATAGAAAAACTGAGACCAAATAAAACTGTAGTAAGCACCTCTTCCAGTCTCACACCCAATACAATGAGTGTCCAAAATCATTCTGCTTTGTCATCGCCAGATGTTGTAGCTGGATCTCACTGCTACCCATGCACTTCAAATAATATGCACATAGCAACATCAGGCAAGAATAAACAGTTACAGATCCAGTCAGTTTCTCATTCGCAAGAGCTTATTGCTAAGACTGGACAACATAATCATCAAATTGTTATGTGTCCAAGTTTCGCTAGATCACTGGTACATCAGCAGAATCAAGAAAACCCAAAACTCCAGCAGATATACAGTATAGCAGTAACCTCTTCTGTAGTACATACACCACCTTCTGCTGTAGCTCAGGTTTTTCCTCAAAGTCAGTTAGTAGCTAGTTCTTCTTCACCGTTGTCAATTAATGCATCTAATTCCACACATTTATCTATAGCTCCCATGTATAATTCAGCTCAGATAGCATCTGTTGTCAACCATGGTGTAGAACAAATCTGTAACCTTCTAAAAGACCAGAAACCTAAAAAACTGGGAAAGTATGTCTGTGAGTATTGCAATCGGGCTTGTGCCAAACCTAGCGTTCTTCAAAAGCACATCCGATCCCATACAGGAGAACGACCTTATCCTTGTGTGACTTGTGGGTTTTCATTTAAGACCAAAAGTAATCTATACAAGCACAAAAAATCTCATGCACATGCTATCAAACTTGGACTTGTTCTACAGCCAGATTCTGGTGGTTTATTCCTAACCCATGAATCGGACAAAGCACTTGGCATTCATTCAGATGTGGAAGATAGTGGTGAAAGTGATGATGAAGGCACTGCTGATGAAAGACAAGATGATCAAGGATCCTTAGAACTGGAATCTGCACAAATAGTGAAAATCATTTCAAATCCTGAAACAACATTACAGAAAGGTAGTCCCATTCCATTAAGCAATCCAGACTGTGTAATAGGTGACTCTTCATTGCATAATTCAGAACCTCAAGTACGGGCAACTTTACCTAAAGTTATAGTTCATCCTGTAAATGTTTCCCCATTAAGGGCCGATAGTCCAAAAGTAACAGATCCCACACCTGAACTTGCTGCAGCACAGAGAAAAGGAGATTTCAAAGTTACAAATATGCAGTCAAATTTAGCACAGATGGCCTCATTCAAGGAGACTGAAATTAGGCACCACCAGAAAGTAGAAATGAGTTTATTAGAAGAACATCTTGGGTCTGCTATAGGAACAGCACATGCACAGCTACAAAGGCAGCAGGCAACTGATTGTTCCCTGGAGCAGCAAGGAAAATGTCTTTTGAGTCCTAGAAGTTTAGGTAGCACTGATTCTGGTTATTTTTCACGTTCTGAAAGTGCAGATCAAACAATGAGTCCACCAACTCCTTTTGTAAGGGGATTGCCAAGTTCTGAAAAAGACTCGAATAAAAGTATGACCTGTCTACCCAGAACAAGTGGAACAGTGGCATCTGTGGTACACACAGCTTGTGCTGAAAAAAATGTGCTTCTCTCTGGTCAAATGCGACCACCTATGGCAACAAAGACACTTGAAGAACGCATCTCAAAATTAATATCTGATAATGAAGCTGTAGTGGATGACAAACAGTTAGATAGTGTGAAACCAAGAAGAACATCTCTTTCAAGAAGAGGAAGTATAGACTCACCAAAATCATATATATTTAAAGACTCTTTCCAGTTTGATTTAAAACCAATGGGAAGAAGAACTAGTTCTAGCTCCGATATACCAAAGTCTCCTTTCACACCAACTGAGAAATCAAAGCAGGTTTTTCTTTTGTCTGTACCATCCCTTGACTGTTTACCTATAACTAGAAGTAATTCTATGCCTACAACCAGTTATTCAGCTGTACCTGCAAATATAATACCTCCTCCTCATCCACTTCGTGGAAGTCAATCATTCGATGATAAAATTGGGTCATCGTATGATGACGTCTTTGTGTCAGGACCTGTGACTCCATTGAACCAAGGTGGACATCCTCGCACTCTTGTTAGGCAGACAGCAATAGAAGACTCCTCAACCAGTGAAAGTCAGGCTCTTGGACCAGCACGATCTGTAGATGAAAGTTACCATGGCTGTAATTTGTCTAATGAACCTTTACCGCAAAGAAGCAAATTACATGTACCAGGAACAAATTTAGAAAAAGTAAAGAAATCACATCACGTGCGAGGTGCAATGTTTGAATGTGAAACTTGTAGAAACAGGTACAGAAAACTGGAGAATTATGAAAACCACAAGAAGTTTTATTGTTCAGAATTGCATGGACCAAAAACCAAAGCAGCCATTCGAGAGCCTGAACATAAACCAGTCCCCAACAGTACACAACCTCAAATTTTGCACTACAGAGTTGCTAGTTCTACTGGTGTCTGGGAACAGACACCGCAGATAAGAAAAAGAAGGAAGATGAAAAGTGTTGGGGATGATGATGAGCCACAGCAAAATGATAGTAACATATCAAAGAGTACTGAGGGTCAGAGCAAGGCAGGAAATTCTTCCAGCATGTCAAAACATAATGCAGCAATAATTAGTTCACATCAACATGGTAGTATCTTGCTTCAGAATTCTCAAATTCAGCTTCTGGCTCGAGGCACAGAACAAACTATTGAGCCCAAGAGCTCTCCTCTGATGGAAAAGCAAACTAGTTCAATTGCACAAGAGAAGGTAGAGTTGAAAAGACAAGGAACTGGAATTTCAGTAATACAGCACACTAACTCACTAAGCAGAACTAGTTCATTTGAGAAATCAGAATCTTTTGAAAGAGTATCACCAGTTTCTTTTCAAGAGGTTGGAAAGGCTGGGAAGAACCAGTCTATGAATGCAGCTGCAATTCAAGAAGATAGGCTTTCACATTTGAGCAATTCCCAGCACCATCAGCCAGTATCATCAGAAATATCTAGAGTGGAACTTAAGGAAAATCAAATTGCTTCTAACGAAAGAAGTACAGCTCTGCAAACTTTAAGACTTGTTCGCCAACACAACATCCAAGTTCCTGAAATACTAGTTACAGAGGAACCAGACAGAGACCAAGAAACCCAGTGCAGTGATCAGGAAAAGACAGAAAAATTTAACTGGCCTCAGAGAAGTGAATCTTTGTCAAAATTGCCAACAGAAAAACTTCCACCAAAGAAGAAAAGGATTCGTTTGGCTGATATTGAGAATTCTTCTGCTGAATCGAGCATTGACTCCACACTTTCTAGAAGTCTTAGTCGGGAGAGCAGTTTATCTCGCACCTCTAGCTTTTCAGCTTCATTTGATAAAGATGAAGTTTCTAAGACTGAGAGTACTACCAAAGGGGATCTTAGTAGTAAATCTTCAGAGTTCCTTATGATTCCTGTGAGCTCAAATACTCTTGGAGTGCCAGGCCCTCAGTACAGGGAAATGAGACGTGCCGCATCAGAACAAATTAGCTGTACACAGCCATCCATGGAGGTTGTAGATTACAGAAGTAAATCTTTTGACTGTGGAAGTATGTCTTCAGCAAAATCTACTCCGCAAGATATATCCACTCCAAAATTGTCTTCTAGCAGTGGAGTTACTGGACATGTACCTTTGCTGGAAAGGAGAAGGGGACCATTTGTAAGGCAGATATCTTTAAATATTGCTCCAGAAAACTCTTTGCCTCAAGTTAAATCGGCTGCTGCTTCATTTCAATTAACTCATACAACAGACAAGTCCACAGTGCCATTTCACAGACTGCAGACCTCTAGTAAATCTTCAGTGGAGTTCCCTTCAAATTCTCAGCACTTACAGACTTACTTCAAGCCTTTACATGAGTCTCAGGCAACAACACAAAATTGTCACCCTCTAAGCCTGTCTTTAGTCCAGCAGTCTTTAGGTCCTGTTTTGTATAATCAAGAACAACGGCTTTCAACAAATCAGCATTTACAGTCCTCCTTTAAAGTGTCAGCCCAAGGAGAACAAGAAAACACAAATGCATTTTCTTGTCAGTCTGTTGAAAAGGAGGATTGTTTTGCTCCCAAATATCAGCTTCAAGTGAAATCACTGAACATAGGTCAATCATATCCTTCTAAACAAATAACAACCACTCTGTCAACCCAGACTCATCCAACTCAAGTTGGTCTGGGCCAGAGTCAGACCTCATTAGAAGTACAAACTAAAGTAGCTGACAGTAGGTCTAATGCATATTCAGTGCCTCCCCTAAAACAAATGACCCCTGCCAGCTGCAGTGGTCAAATGCAACAGATTGCACCATTTGTGGTTCCTGTTCATATTCATAGTAATATTCCATCCTATGGCTTTGCCACTGTAACCCCACTTCCTCAAATTATAGTAACCCAGGATCAGGTAAATCAGTCTACTGGTAAAACAAATGTTGTGACAGTGCCAACACTTGAAGGTAAAACCGAGCTGCCAAAATCTCACAAAGATCATAGGGTTTTGCAAAATTCACAGCCAGCATCCCTGTTTGATAACTCCCTTCCTGAAACTGGAAGCAGAAATTCACCTTTGTCAAGCTGCTTGAACATTATTCAGAAAGTGCCAGTTAGTGGACTTTCTCCTCAACAAGAGGCTACAGCTTCAAGTAAACGTATGCTTTCACCAGCCAACAGTTTAGACATTGCCATGGAAAAACACCAAAAACGTGTTAAGGATGAAAGTGGGGATCCTTGTGCAACAGATGGTAGATCACTGAATCCACTGAACATTAGAGCCAGTGACCTTAATAAGCAAAAGAAACCAGTTCTAGTAAGACAGGTTTGCACCACAGAACCTCTGGAAAGTCATTTGCTGGATCCAGAGATTGTTCCACAGCACGAAAAAACGAGCAAAGTTATTACTTCTTCCGATAGGCTAATAACGGATCACCATTCATTTGAAGCTGGAGTTTCTGAATCCATAAAGGAGTCCCCAGAATCTGAAAACCTTAAATCTGCTATTTCAAGTTTTGTAGTACAAAAGCCATCTGAACCTCCTTCAGTAAATAATCAGCCTTCTCTTTTGAAGGCTTTAGGCAACAGTCAAGAAAGGAAGTCCCCTAGAGTTAATAATGAAGGGAAGCAAATTAATAATCAAGGCCAAGCCAAACCTGTAACTACTTTGTCAGTGGTAAATGCTGGAGATATGCAACGGCTGTCATTTCCAAGCCTAAAGACTTCAACAAATTTCACATGGTGTTACCTGTTAAAAAGGAAGCCATTACATCTGTTACAAAATGACCAAAAAACATCGGCATATTCTACTTGGACTGTTAGTCCCAACAATCCCAATCCTCTTGGTTTGCCAACAAAGGTTGCTCTTTCCCTTCTAAATTCAAAACAAAAAATTGAAAAACCACTATATACTCAAGCAATAACTACTCATTCCGTATCTGATGTATTGGTCTACTCAAGCAAGTGGAAGAACAGCGTAAACAAGGTACTTAAAGAACATTTAATGTGTATTAATTTTAAGAACCAAGCTTGTGTTTATAGGCCATTTGCTTTAAAATTATACTGTATTTATATTTTGAGTAATGCAATGTGCTTTGCTTTTTCCCCTTCCTATTTTTGAATAATTACATGAATAATATGTGTGACCTTTTGTATTATAGTTGTGCTGCACTATATTGCTATAAAGTTCTCAATTATTTCTGTTAAGAAACCTGTTCTTAAGGGTTTATTTCTTTTCATTAATATTTTTTCCTGAATTAAAATTTGTACATAAAGTCTAGTTTTAGCAGAAATCCATCTGGCCATTTTTACACTGCAAAAAAAGTGTAACAAAAATAGTTTCCATTTACATATTTTTTAAAACCAACTTCAACTTAAAACCGATTTATTTTAAAGAAAGAATGGGGACAGGGAGGCAGTGAGGTAATTTGGCCTAAAAAGTGAGCTGTTGTTTTCTGTGGTCAGATTGAGCAGGTATCTGTGAATGTTCCAAAAACAATTTTTTACCATTACTATTTGACAAAATGCCATTGTACATTTGCTCCTTCTCTTTCCTTGCCTCCCCTGCTATCTTCCCCATTTAGTTTATTGATCTGAAATAATTATCGAGACATTGATGCTTAAAATGGAATTACAGCTTTCTTAAGAATATTTATTACCTTTTCCATGTTATCGATTGATATTGCTCCAAAGAAGCCATTAAATCTTTTGTGCTAAGAATATTTTCAGAGTAATATATGACTGGTATAACTATTAACAGTTCCATTGACACACAGAGGATTACTTCAATAGCTAGGTCTGCAGCATAAAATCACAGCTGACAGACCGCAGTTGAAGCAGTGCTCCTCAATAGAATATCAGTTTAAGATTTGGCAAATCTGAATTGTTGAAGAAGTTAAAATCTAATATTTAATGTTGTGCTTTCATGAGCTTCCAAAGGCAATAAAACTGTAGAGATCTCTGAATGATATATAGTCATGCATCCAGTACTCTCAGATGAAATGGGGTGGGACCTTGCTTGGAAGTAGGTATGTTTGCTTTATTGCCAAGATTGTGGGCCATTGCAATATGCCTGCTGTTGCTCAGAATATACAATATGAATCTATTTAGTTTGTGTGAATTCACTGCAGTTCTCAAATGATTAGGTTGTGTATTCTTGAATACATAGGCACAGTAGAGTACGATAAGCTACTGTAGCAGTGTGCAATGTGAGATGTTGTTGTACCACAATGAGTAATCCTTCATTATGTAGTTTATTTGTATGTTTCAGCTTGGTTTGCATAAATTTCATTCTCAGCCTAAAAAAATGCTATTCTTCCTAGGAGTGATTCATTGCAATTAGTCTTCCATATAGGTGGTTAGGATATTATATATTAAATTATAATGTTGAGCACATTTTGAATGAACTTGAATAACCTTCCAGTCTGCACTAACATATAAAACCTTAACAACTTAGTTTAGCAACTAGAAATAAATTATGATTACTGCATGTAGTCCATTAAATGGGTCTACATATTTTTGTGGAAAAAAATCCATGCACAGAAGAGATGATGATGTGAGAGGCAATGGTTTGTGTGGCAGATATCTTTTATTGTATAGTTGAGAGAGATCTTAGACAAGCTTTTTCACAAAAGGTACCCTTCCTCAGGTTTGGAAGAGAAGCAGACATAGCTTGAGCCTAGACAGAGCAATAGCCTGTGGAAAACTCCGTATTTAAATGAAAACAGTCCGGTTAAAGCAGGGGTGTCAAAAATAGGACTTGTGGACCAGATCTGACCCATGGAACCCCTAATCATCCAGCCTTCAGTGTTGCCTGTGGGTCACAGACCAGAACACCACATGCAGCACATGCTGGCCCTCACCTTGTGCACTGGATGCAACATGCAGAGCCTATTTGGCACAGACTGCACACTTCATGCAGTTTGTGGGGCTGGTCTGGAATGCATGCTGCATGCCACACCTACCCTGAACCAGCCCTGCACCCTTGATCCAGGGCCAGTCTGGAACAAACCAGGACTGCATACTGGAGCAAGCATGCAGAGCTGTTCTGGCATGGGCTCCATATGTAGCATATGCCACAGACTGATCCCATGCTTGTGTGTGCATGCCTGGGACTACTCCATGCATTGCATGTTATGCCTAGAGCTGGGTTCAGTACATGTGCTGCAAGCAGTATGTAGGCTGGTCTAGCATGTGTACACATGGCACCTGCACCAGACTGGCCCTGCATGCTGGATTTGGGATGTGGGACTGATCTGTGTGTCCAATCCACCCTGCAGACTGTTTCTGCACTCTGTATTCAGCCCGCTGGCCAGATGAGGTTGACACCCATGGCTTAAAGGAATAGAAGGGAGGTTTCAAAAGGGAGCACAGAACTGTTATCAGAAGGAACTAAAAGACAAAAGGGCTGCATCCAAATCAGTGTGGCTGTGCAGTATGTGGTGCTGCAGATGCATCTGCAGCACCACATACCTCACATTCAGCTGTTCTCCAAACTGCAAGGGAGCAGAGTGTGTGTGTGGAGGGGGGGTAACCTCTGGATTTCCAGGGGTCGAAAAACCCCCACAAAAAAAGAGCGCAGCTCATGTGGGGCAGTGTGTGCCACTCAAAACTGGAGCCTGGGTCAGCTGCCATGGTCCAGCTCCTGGCCAGGCTCTGAGCAACAGGATAGCTGCTGCTGCAGCCCCAAGAGGCCCCAGGACCCCAGGTAAGGTTGTTGGGGCCAGCCCAGTGCTGGGCCTAGCCTCCCCTACCCCACCTGGAATAACCTGCCACATGCCAGAGGGCATGTGGCACAGTCATTTCCCCAGGACATCTAGCTGCGGCACAAGATGTCCCACTGCTAGATGTCCCCTAGGAACCAAATGTCCATGCTACTGTGGATGTGGCTAAGGAGTGCTATAGAAAGGATAACCAGATTAGTGAAAACACAAGACCAGTCAAGAGGGGAAAGAGTCATTCCCACCTGTAGAGTGTGGAGAGATTAGCAGTGATCACAGGTAGATTATAATAAACCGTAAAGTCAACATTGTGTTTAGTTCCTGGTTCTTAGTATCCAGTAAGGTTATGGTTTTTTGTTCTCGAGCCTGTCTTTTTAAGATGTTCTGTATATTTCCCTTGAGCACAAGGATTTTCAGGTCTGAAAGAAAGCGATCATTCTGTGAAGTGTTTTGCTTTCTAAGTTTGTCTTTCTGTCCTTTACCTTTTCCCTGCAATCACTTATTCTAGGGCAAGGTGCTCAATCCCTGACCCACAGGCCTGATCTGGCCCTTTACATCCTGTAATCTGGCCTGCATGGCAGCCCTTAGGTCCAAAAACTTGGCAGCACTGCTTTTCTGCTGCCAAATTTCCAGACTTACGGGGAACCCCATTGGCTGGAAACCATGGCCCTGTGCATTAGCTTGGGCACACAGGACAGCCCAAGGCCTGGTCTTGCCATGCAGGGGCAGCCCATGCCCAATCCCACCATGTGTGGTCTAGTGTGGGGCCCCAGAACCCAATCCTGGTATGGGGGTGGAGCAGAGTCCCAAGGCTCCATCCCAGTGCATGAGGGTGGTGCAGTGCCCTTGAGCACTATCCTGGTGTGTGGGGCTCAGTCTGGCCCACAGACTGGTTCTGTATTCTTCATTTAGCCCACAGGACCAAAAGATTGAGCATCACTTTTCTAGAGCATAGTTTTTGTCGTCTTTTGCCCACATAGTTTCCATGAAGGCATTTGGTGTACTGGATGAGATGTACCATATTCTGGAAAGACATGCTTAGGATCTATGGGTTTTGATGGTTTCATTGTGGGGGGGGGTGTCGCCTGTGGTTGCATGGGAGATGTGTTGATGGGTTTTGTATTTATTGTTAACATAAGATTGTGTCCCATTTGGTGTTTGATCAATGGGGAGTTTGCCTCTGATGATGAGTTGGTCGAGGTTGAAAGCAGTTTTCAGGTTTATGAGGTGAGTGTCACAAGCATAAGATTATGTCAGTTGGTTAGCAAAAAGCTCACCTATTGATCTAATGCAGTGGTTGGCAACCTTTCTAGGTTGGAATGATCCAGCTCGGGTGATAAGTGGGCAGGTACTAGGACCCAGCCACTGCTGCCATTTCTGCCACCACTTGTGCCCACTGCAGCGTGTTGAGAAATGTCTGCTGCTGCCACTTCTCCCCATCACCTCTTCTTTCCACTGCAGCACAGGAGAAGCCCCCACCACTGAATGCCACCAAATTCTCACATCCTTGGGCCAGATCCAGTGGCTCAGCAGGCCAAATCCATCTGATGGGTTGTAGGTTGGCAATTCCTGGTCTAAAAAAGGCTTTCAGTAAGTTTTTGCTATCTGAAAATAATTCCACTTACTTCCTCCATATAGTCAATCCAAAAGCTAACAGGAGTGATCATTAAAAATTATGTCTCTACTCTCAGCTGCAAGGAGTAGTGTTTCCCATGCTCTGGTACTAGGACAGCATGGAAGAAAAGTGTCTTTCTGAGAGTGGTAAGCTCTTCTCTGCAAAACAATCTCTCCTCCTGATTTTGGTGTTCCTTAATTAATGTACCTTTTTGTGAATAATTTAATATGGCTGTATGCCATATGAAAACATTACTGTTGGAACATTAGTGGTATAATATAAATTGGTAATTTGTCAGTGCTTGTGTACTCTATCTGATCAAATGCTTTTATTGTTCAACTTACAAAGCAAATTGTGCAGTGCATGACACCAGATCATATTCTTCTTTCCTTGCTGTTCCGTCTCGTGTGCTGTTTTCAGGTTTTTCTTTTCAAACACAGCTACAAAGCTTTATACTAGCTCCAGAGCCCAACTATCTAGAATCAAGCAAGAGACATCTAGAACACACAAAATCACCGTTGGGAGAATTAAAGATAATTTTGTTGAATTACTCTGCAATTTTCAGTGTGTTATGGATGTGTGAGGAACTGAATCTGGATCAGCAAGATCTCTTATTGCTGTGAAGGAAAGAACTGTGCTTCTGTTATTGTCCAGTGACAAGCTAGAGCCGAGCAACTCCAGTAGGATCTGTCTAGTATCTCTGTGGTATTAAGACGCACACTAGTCAGAGGTGGGAAGACAGACATTGCGTAGGACTTGAAAATTGCAGGAGTGTGGTTAAGGATGCATTCTTGAAGCCCTTTGGGTAGAAAAGCATCCTGGCCTTATTGAGGTCGTGGGAGTTTTCATGAAGGGTTTAGATTTAACCCTTAGTGCAGGTATGCCCCATTTCCATGTTGTACCTAGAAGCTGTACCACACGAAGCCTGGAAATGAAGCAATGGAGCTGCCTTAAAGCATACCAGTGAGTGCATCAAGCAGTATACCCGAGAGTAGCAATTGGCATTTTTCCTGTGATATATATTTGAGCCCCTTGTTTTGGGGAAGAAAAGTGTTACAGGCGTTTTCCACTGTACTTTTTATTTGTGCATTCAAACAAAATCCTTGTGCATTCATGATGGAGAAAAACAAATTTTCTCTGGAAACAATTTCTGTTTAGAGTATAAATAATGAGTAACAAGATTTTGAAAAAATATTTTGACTGTGTCCTTTTAAACGGTAGCTGTTATAAAAGGCAGCTTCCATGAATATATAAGGTTATTTTGCTGCAAAACAGCCATAATTATTCATTTTTCTTCAAGCTTTTATGCTGATTTTTTTCAAATGAAATACATTGTCATGGTGAAGCTGCAAAGAAATTCAGTCTCTGTTTTTTAAGCCTTGCTGGCATCAAATTGAACAGTGATTTATTCTTAAAGGAATTACCAAAGAAGAAAGTGCTATAATAAATCATCAAAGTTTTTAATTCATATCTCAGGTTGTACAAAAAAAAAGTTGTGATGATCGGAATTAAAAATTGAAAAGACCTCATAGGTCTTATGTATTCTTCCATTGCAGGATTTTTTTTCCTACAGGTTATTCTCCAATGTTTGTCCAGTTTGGTTTTAAATGATTTGGGTAGTAGAATTTCAGGCATGTTTCTGGATGGCCAGACTGCTGTCATAACAGGGAGTCTTACACTTCTATATTTCTAACTTCTGTCCAGGCCTAATCAACAAAACAATTGGTGCTAAATTCATGGCAGTTTCACCATAGGCACCAAATAGTTAATAGGCATGGAAATGGAAACATCCTCATTCAGTTCGTGTCCAGCTGTCCTTATAGACGATTGTCTCTCTCCTGTGATCAGACGCAAGATTCAAAACGTTGAAGCTCCTGCTAGATCTCTTAGTACCTGATCAGTTTGGTCATTGGGCTGGTTTTAGTCCTGAGTTTCTTTAGACTTATATAAATAACTTGAGACAGTGGGGTTAAAGTGGTACATCATTGGAGTAATGCATGGGTGAATCATCCCCTCTGCTTCCAGTTATAAAGAGCAGCAGAAACCACTCTACAAGACTGTCTGGTATTGTTGAAGGAAGCATCTGTTTAAGACAGTGTCTGCTAATGTATAAGGC